ACCACCACCAGCCACCAGCAGCACCCTCCTCCTGTCGGTTCTGCTTCAGGCCTTTCGCTCCCTTACTTCCACACCGGCCGCTCCCCGCTGAAAAAGGCCCTAGGATTTGGCAAACTGCGCCTGGCAGGCAGGCACCCCCTGAGGACTGAAAACCGCCCAAACCGCGCTGAGCCGCACAATGGGTGCAGCCGCCTTCCTGGAGACACAGCTGCAGCCCAGGGTATCTGACGTCGTGCCCCTGCCCGTCATACCCGGGCTCGCAGAGACCGCTCCCCACGCACAGGGACAAACACAATCGTGCAGTATCGGCCTCTGGTCTTCTCGTGCCCACGGTGGAGACTGAGAGGGCAGCAGGGAGCAGGGCACAGGACGTGCTGGACAGCTGGCCACAGGAAAGGCCCGCATCCGTCCGTCCTTGCTCAGTTGGGCCTTCACTCTTTCTTGGGAGCCCAGCGTGACCTCTGGCACATCGAGAGGAGACATCCAGTGGGCTGCGGTGTACGCTGGCACGTGGCATTCATTACAAGACTCAGAGGGTCTCTAATATCATGGCTGTTAATTAATGTTCTGGATTTTAAAGATCTTTATTTTTTTTTCAGGTCACACAAGTAGTAGTCATTATAAAAATTCCAACTGTACACAAGCATATAATACAGAAGGCAAATGTCCCTGTAATCCCATCCGGAAGGAGCACAGTTGATTGTTTCAGCATAAACCAAGCTGGGTTCTACTCACACACATTGTTCGTACCGTAAGCTCCCGGATGGTCTCCTGACCTAGAAGCCTTTGGGTGGTTTCCCCTTGGCTGACGGGTAACTGCCTGTTTTAGTTGATTTTCTGTTGCTACAACTGTATACCACAGACTGAGTCATCTTTTAAGGTTGATTCAGCTGTAGTTTCAAAAGCTTAAAAGTCAAGATTGCTTGGCCTCGCCTCTCAAGTGAGTCCTGAGCAGACATCACACAGCAATAGACAGGGTTCTCATCCTCTTGTTCAGGGCTCTCATCCTTTCTTTTAATAAAGCTGCAGATCCCGGGGGTGAGGACCCCACCTTTCTGAACCCATTCAACATTAATTAGCTCCTGAAGGCCCCACCTTCAAATACCATAGCTAGATTAAGTTTCCACTCACAGTGGAGAGTATATTTCAACAGAGGTTGAATATGTACCTATGAATAGACACTTTAAAACTCATCCTGCTCATTCCACGGATGTTTTATTTTATAATGTCGATGGAATTTCTGTTCTTCCATAGTATTTGGCTATTATGATGTCTCAAGGAGCTGTCCTGATGCCCAAGATACCTCAAATCAGTGTGGGAAAGATGGCTTATTTCTTAAATGGTAGGAGGGGTCCACTGCTTCACACCTGGCATGAACAAGGCCAAGGGCCAGGCCAGTTTCACCTCCAGAGGGGACTGAGGCTGGAGAACATGTGTGAGCAAGAAAAGAAGCTGAGTGGGGAAGTCAGTGCAGATAACAGAGGCCTGCCACTTTCCCTGGAGGCCTCCCTGAGACACAGAGAACTCAGATCAGCCTCTCTTCCCTCCCGATGCTACTGGAAATAAACACAGAGCATTGGAAATACTCAGTGTTCAGTTGAGGATGATCCTCTCACTCTGCCACAAACTCTTCCTGTCCCATTCAGTGTCACATCTGCTTTTCGACAAAGCTTTCCATTTGACACCCTTGGTTGGCAGTCATCTCAATATCTAGATCTTTTTGAAGAACGCAGGGACAGTGTGAGCTTCTGTCCCAACTTTCATCTCAGAGAGCCGTTTGCTTCACCCTGAAAACAGTGGCAGCGCATGCGTGTGGTAGGGTGCTAAAGTAGTCCAGATGAAGATGCTGTGACCCCTGGGCTGGAAGACAGCGACGGAGAAGGCGGTGGGAATTCAGCTGCTGTATTCCCTCCTTTTGAGATTTCTTCCTGGGGGACAGATCAAAATTCCATTCTGAAAAAGAGAAGCGGTTGATGGGTTCCATTATTCCACAGCTCCTCTCTTGTTAACTTTGAAGCTCTCCCTTCCTAGGAAATACCTGTACCTGATCAACACACTCAATGCAAACCCAAGACATTCGTAGAAGAAAAACTAGATCCTTCTCACAATCTTCTTCTTCACTTAATGTAACATCGTTTTTTCTGTTACTTAAAACGTATCTCTCTTGCACCCCCACCTTCTCTTTCTATTTTTTCCTCTCCAGAGGAAATCCTTAACATTTCATCTCTGTGGTAACTTTTTGAGTGATCCTGGGAGGTGTTCTGCGGGGTCTTGGGATCACAAAGACCAGGACCCTGCACAGTTGTCCTCAGGGCAGGAGCAGTGGGCCACAGGAGTTGCAGAAGCAAGAGAGACTGTGGGCATGGTGGCCTGGAATCTCCCTACTCAGGGCCCTTCCATAGGCACGTACCCCTAGAGCACCCAGAGAGGCTACCGGAGGCCTCTCTGTCCTCAGGTGTTTTTTTTCCAATCCACTTGCCCCAAACCACCAGACTGAGACTCTTAAATCTCTCCTGACTGCAAATCCCTTTACCTGCATTTAAAAAGTCTCACACTAATTTATTTACGTTTAAGGTCTTCACCATCAGCGCCAATCTGTGCTCCTACATTTGACACACAAGACTTTTTTTTTTTTTCAAATGAGCATTTAGCTCTTTTTAAATTTCTACGTCTCGCCATTGGAATCCTAATGGAAATTTCTTCACTTCCCGCCTACACAGGCCACCGTCCTTCCTGTCTGTCCTTGGTCATTATGATACCTCTATCAGCTGTCTCAGGGGCTTCCCTCCGCACCGTACAGTCCTCCTCCAGTTTTTTGATCTTTCCATTTTTCCTTCAATTGTGAATTCTTTTGGTGAAACCCAAGCTCCCTTCTCATTCTGAATGCTCTTCTCTGAAGCTCCTGTAAGAAAAAGACAACCCCTTCCTGCGTCCATCTTTACCCCTCAATCCCCTAACTGTGGTGCTCCTCTTTCCTGGGTCAAGAAGGACCCCTGTGAGGCCTGGCAGTAGCAGGGGACCCTGGCTTCTACTTTCTCCTAGTGTGAAGGATGCTCTGAACCCTGCCCGCATGTTCACGGAGTGGGACGGATTCTGCATTTCCGGTGACACCAACAGGCCGCAAGGACACCATGCTGAGCACGGTGGGGCCCCCTCGTGAGCTCCGCGTGGGAGTGGAGGGGCCCAGTTTCCAGGCACACCATGACATGGGAAGCTGAAAAGTTCCTTCTTAGGAACTTTGCCAGCAGCCTGGCTAGCAGGTCCCTTTCTGCCTCATTACACACACGAGCACCTGCTTCGCGTCTTGTGGTTCCTTCATCCTGGGAGTCAAAACACAGAAGACCAAGGAACTCACCCCCTCGTTCCAATTTCTCCTTATATAAAATCCCCTTCGCCTCACCGCAGATCACAGGAAGTGTGGGAGAAAGGAAATCCACAGTGTCCTCTTTGGGTTTCTCTGAAAGTAGGAGACAACAGTTTGGCCATACTCAGTCTCCATTTATTCTTCCTCTTGAACGCTTTCCTCCCAGGAGCTCTGATAATAATCATAATCAACAATAATAGAAACGGTATCGGGAAGACTCTGCCCAGAGTCTTCCATTTCGATTATTTGAACATGAGACAGGAAGACTCAATGAAGATAGGTAGAAAGGAGACAAGAAAAATCGTTATTTTAAAATTGTACTTTTAAGAAAAACAGCGGCTGCAGGTTGCAAAAATTAGTCAAGCCTCTTTATCCTTTGAGGAAACTTACTCCAAAAAAGTTCGCTAAAGACAACAATCCTGTAAAGTGGGTTCTGGGCCTGTGCTTTTCAACTGCAAACCGAGCTTCCACGCACTGACCTGGGTCCCGAAGGAAGCCGCAGTGTTAGGGGGCAGCTTGTCCCACTCACAGGCAAACAAGTGCAAACGGTGCATGTTCTAACACAGCCCGCCCCCGGGTCTCTCTGTGCTGTCAGAAACCGCCTCCCCAAAATGCTGCTTAGCGTCCACGTAACCAGAGAAGTCTTTGCGGATAATCCTGTTTCCTGATTCGAACTAAGATTTGGGTAGGGGAGATGGTTAGCACCGAGGGGATGATTCCAGTCTCCACCGTTTGCTGTCACTTCCTCTCATTGCTTCCGTGTTTCTTCCTCTGTAAGAAAACTCTGGAGCATTCTAGATTGTTCTGCCCACTGCTCATGGGGAGATTGGCAGCTCAGAGCCTCAGAGTAGTGATCTTGGGTTCAGACTGAGGAGAAGCGATTGTAAAAGGGGCCAAAATAAATGCCAGCAATTCCTGCTCCCTTCCCCTCCGAAATCTCTGTGGGTGGATTTATTGCAGGGCCGTTTCTCGGCCACTCATGACTCCTGCTGAGTTACAGAGGACGCTACACCTGCAGTGGGTCAAGGTGAGCCCCTGGCCTGGGGTTCTCTTGCCTCGCTTGTTGAAAGAGCCAAAGGAAAATGCGTGGGCAAGCAAGAGCCTCGCTGGATAGAGGAAAGAAGAGCATCAGGGAGAAGAAGCCATTCGTTACTCTGGAAAGATACAAAGCAGAGTCAGACTGAGCCGAAAGGCCCCTGGGGAGTGAGGTTCCCCCAGCTGAGCCCCAGAGGATGCCCAGCCCGGGAAGACAGGGACTGGCAGCGCAGGGAGGCACGGGGTGGGAGCCCTGGAGAGCTTCGCTTCAGCAGTCTGCATGCACACTCCATGGCACGGCGAGCGCCCCTAGCTCCCGGCTTACATCCAGCGCATTCCCATGATCCCATGTGAGTGGGAAGCCTGCTGCTCCCTGGACCACGACGGCAAACCTCCAAGGGGAGGAGCACTTCTCCAGCTCCATGGAGACATCTTCTCTACTGCCCTATGCTAAACACGGCTGTAAGGGAGGCAGATATCCTGGCAAGAGGTGGAAGTGCAGCTGGTGGCTTTGGGGCCAAAGGCAGCAAGCAGTCAGATCAGGCACAGGCCTTGCTGTCTCCCGTCCCGCTGCAGGCGGGTCTCCAGGTGAGGTAGGCCTTCGGGGGCATCCAGAGCCCCCTATGGTACCCTCAGGGACGCTTTCTGGTCTGTTCCCGGTCCTGGTCCTGCTGAGCTGGCCTCAGCCTCTGGATCCCTGCAGCCCGAAGGCCTGCCTGGAACTCCCATGGCAGCTGGCCCCTTCTAAGGGCTTTCTAATCAGCAGCAACCGAGTGAGCGCACAAGAAGCCAGCGTGAGCAGAAAACAAGAGGCGTGCGAGGAAGCGATTATGGAGGAAAGTAAAGGACAGCCTGAGGGAGACACGGAATAACGAGGTGGAAAAAATCCTAATTAGTGAGCTGAAGACGAACTCCTGGGCGAGAGGCCTAGGGAAGGACCTGAAGCTGCACAGGTGACACACATGCGGGGTCTGGACTGAGGGGGAGGGTGGACTCGGGGCGGATGCTGAAGTCGTCAAGGAAACAGCAAGAGCAGCGCACCTGTACCCCTCACCCTCCCAGCCAAAGCAAGGATCACCCTTACTTTATAGAAGGGATGCCGTGTCTCATAAAAGACCAGCTGGTGTCTGGACTTATTTACTTACTTCATTAGTGTAAAGAGCAACAGGCCTGGCATTAGAACCACCTAGGTTGATTTTAACTTCTGCAAGTCTATAACCCTTTGAATCTGTGAAATGGGCTCTCTCGGTCATTGCGAAGATTTGATGATAAAATGCAGAGCTGGGTGCTCTGCCAACGTAAAGCGATGGACCTCCTGGAGTGTCACAGCAGGGCCATGGCATAAGAGTGCGCTGGCTGTGCACTGAGCAAGAGTTCTAGCCTACAACAGGATCCATCTGCACGCTTAGTACAATCTTCCAGCAGAGGGCACCAGAGGCCTTGGTTTCAAGAATCAGAGGGTACTGCTGGGTATTAAGAAGGGCAGTTTTTTCCAATTCACTGTCATGGGATCCATACTCAGGACTCATTCGTGATGCAGGAGGGCGACTAACGACTGGGTTTGCTACTTAGGTACAAATGGCGAGGTACCAAGGACAAGGACACAGAGCCGGAGGAGACCAGGAGACCGATTCACTTCCAGACCTCCTATGGCTTTCACGTGGTAAGCAGCAGCGCCCAGTTAATTAATTACAGCCACGCTGAGCCAGCCTGGGAGCTAGGTGGGTGGGAAGCACGCGGGCTTATCTGCCCCATGCGTGGGGACCTTCCACAGAGCAGTGATTCTCCGTGGGTGCTGGGTGATTCCTCAGGGCATGGGGCAAGGTTTGGAAATCTCTGCTTATCCTCATGGGGCTCCTGCTACTGGTGGCCAGGAGTGTTGCAAAGGGTCCCACTATACACATGAAGGCCCTACAGTGAATTGTCTGGCCCCAAATGCCAGTGGGGCCAAGGTTGGAAAACTGTCATAAGCCTCACTGATGAAGACAGAGCAGTTTGTCTGTTTTAGTAACAAAAAAGCAAAAAAGGCCTTCACAACCAAAAGCCTCTCCAGTAAGTTAGGAGAAAAAACAAGCCTGGCATGGTAGCACAGGCCTGTAATGCCATCTACTGGGGAGGCTGAGACAGGAGGATGGCAAGTCTGAGTCCAGCATGGGCAACTTTGCAACTGAGCAAGACTCTGTCTCAAAATAATACATGTTTTAAAAAGGATGGGGAATGTAGCTCAATGTGAAGGCCCCGAGTTCAATTTCTAGTACCACAAAAAATAAAAAACAAGCATAAAAAACTGCAATAGGCATAACACAGGGTTTATTCCCCTAAATGATTAAGCAAAAAAGAGAACAGTTCTTCATAAAAATTAGTAAATGTAAACAGATAATCTTCAAAAGAATAAGTCAAATGATAACTTGATTAAAAAATAAGTACACTAGGCTAGATAGTGGTACAGTGATTCATAACCCTCAAAAACTTCAGTATTTTATTATAGGAGTCAGGCAACTACAGCCCAGAGGCCAAACTGCCCTGCTGCCAATAAAGTTTTATTGGAACACAGCCATGTCCATTTGTCTATACATTCGTCTCTGGCTGCTTCTGGTCTGTAAGGCACAGCTGAGTGGTGCAACAGAGGTTGCATGGCTGGCAAAACCCAAACCATCGATTGTCTGGCCCATTTTGAAAGATGCTTGTCAAGTGGTGGTTTCTGATAAGGTTTAGTTTTTCTTCATGCTATTTGGCCATCACACATTAGACGAAGCTTAGCCCTACACAGTGATGGACAGTGATGGTTCTTGGCCACAGAGCGTGCCTCGTTTGGGGACACAGAGGCAGAAGATGTGGGAGATCTTAAATTGGTGGCCTGGAAATGACTCTGTCCCACGACCTGTGTCTCCTTCTGAAGCTGGAGCCGTGCGACACTGGCGAATGGTAATACAACTACAACCACTGCACAGGCTTCCCTGGAGGCAACACACAAACTCAAGGAGAGCCCAGTGGAATATGGGTTTTGGCATTAATGTTTGGCAAAGAGGAGAGTCTTCATTTATTTCTACTGTTGGTGAAGGTGTAGGGAAAAGGGGACAGTATGAGATTAAGGCAAAGTGAACAACTGGGTCACTATGACAGTTGTCATGGGTTAACTTAAAATGCTCAGACTTCTAGAAATGAGCAGTCAAGAAATAAAACCGAGGGCTGGGGATTTAGCTCAGTGGTTCCACAGCCTGCCTCGCAAGTGCAGGACCCGAGCTCGATCCCCAGTACTACTGCTACTACTACTACTAATGATAATAATAATAATAATAATCCTGAGCTGAGCATGGTGCACATACCCATAGTCCCAGAATTCAGGAGGCCAAGGCAATGGGAATGTTTGAGAGCAGCTTGGGCTACACAGTTAGTTCAAGGTCAGTTGGAACTACATCGTGTGGCCTTGTCTTAAAAACACAAAACAAGGCAGTAACCAAGTAAGAAAAACGGAACGATCCTGAGGACATGTCCTCTGGGAGGGCTGGTGCCACCTCCAACGTGGGTCTGCAGGAGTCCTCAAGAGCGGCCCTTGCTCAGGGGAGTGTGGTGACTTTGCCGGCTGCGGAGAGGTCATGCGAGTCCACCACACAGCCCGGTGAGCTTCACCCTGTGCTTCCACAGCCTCATCCCCGCAGAGCCTGGCTCTGCGTCCTGCTCCTCCCACCTCCACGTCTTCCTCCACCAGTGACTTTCCACGCCCACTCTGCCTGCTGCAGCCCTTCCACAGGCAGATTCCATCCTCAGCCTTACCCTCAGAGCTGGACATCCAGGCACATTTTGTCCTTGTCCTTTGGGTCCTTTTCACCACCCTGGAGTTCCCAGCTGGATCGTCTTTCCTTTGATCCACCATTTGGACCTTCTCCTGGACTCCATGACTGGACAAGGCTGCCCCTGGACCAAGAAGTGACTTGTGAATACTCTGAATTCCCAGGGAGCACCTTTCTCCTCTCATTAGCAACTTCACTTCCCATGCCCAGCCCTCTCCCTTTTTGATTTCTATACTCTGTACCTCATTTTTTTTCTATTTCACTATAAATTTCTTATTTTTCTTGTGTGAGCCTTTCTTTCTTCCCCCAAATCACCATCTGCTCTCACTCCAGGAACCAGCTAGTTGAAATCAGCAGATGTACTTAGGGGACTCCTAGAGCAGAGGGGCTTATTTCCTGCTTCCTGTTTGTGTGACCCAGCTCCCTGTGGTGGCCACATCTAAGTAGATGGCTGCAGCCACATGGGCTTCAGGTAGAGAGGAGGAGCATTATAAATACCTCTCCTCGTTCCCTCAGGAACCAGGGCCTGTGTGTGACAGGAAGGTATCCTAAGGCTCCTATGTAGGCGCCTCTAGTGGGGATAGTGCAAGGAGTCAAAGAATTGGGGGGCCAAGGCCTGCCCTCATGGTGGCCACCCTGAGGGTCCACGGACAGTGGGGCTGGGACTGAAGAGTATTTGCAACGCCAGGGGCCATAGAGGTGAGTCCACTTTATTGAAGAAAGAGGACAGAATTTTTACTGGCTGTGACTTTAGAAAGAGATGAAAACTGTGCAGTAACTACCACAAGAACGTGAGGTGAGGAAGGACATCAGCGCACAGCCACACCTTCTCCCCGCAGGTGGACCGGGAGCTTTCCCGGCTGTCAATGTCGTGGCCACTTCCAGAGGAAGTAGGCATGGCTAAGCACTGGAAAGGCAGGACCCAGACCCAGCAAAGGTGAAATCCCTGAATACAAATCCAATGGAGACTGGGTAACCTGAAAGCACTTAAAACTTGCCTTTATTTGAGAAGTTTAATTTCTGTTCTCAATAGAAATGAAAGCCCAAAGAAAACGAGAAAATCAGATCTCTTAGAGAAAACAGAGTATTGTTTTTCTTCTTTTTTTAAACAAAGGATAATGTGGTATACTCATTTTTAGCTTTATTATTTGTCTCCCTGCCCCCTCTAAATTTTGAAACACCTTCAAAGGTGTTTTAGTATTTTTAATAAGGGTGCTTAATTAAATATAAAAAAGCGTGACTCTTACTGTTCCTGTTAGACTGGAGGTAAGGAGAATGGGAAGTTATTGTTAAATGGGTATAGAGTTTCAGTTTTAGACAATGAGAGAATATGAGGATAGATGGTGGTGATGTCTGTAAACGTTGTAAGTGTATTTAATACCGTTGAGCTATACACTTAAACATTATTGAGATAGTAAATTTTATGTGTATTTTACCACAATAAAAGTATTGGAAACTGAATGTGGTGGTGCACAACTGTAATTCTAGCTCTCAGGAGGTTGAGGCAGGATGACTATGAATTCAAGGTCAATCTGAGCTACATAGCAAGCTCATGGCTGGCCTGAACTATGTAGCAGGAAGGATCCTGGCTAAAAGGGGGTGGGGGCATTTAAAAAACACATTCTCTGTCATATTTAAAATAAAATGATAGGGCCAGGGATTTAGGTCAGTGGTTCCACTGCCTGCCTCACAAGCGTAAGGACCCAAGTTTGATCCCCGGTACCAAAAACAAAAAAAAAAAGAAAAAAACTACATAAATAAAAAGGTAAAGTAGAGTCTTTAAAAGCACATGTGCAGTTTTTTTTTTTTCATTTGAATGAAATAGGAAGACAAATCTATGAGGGCCTGGTTTCCTTCTTTCTGTTGCCTGGCAGAGGAAAGTATCAGATCGGTTACTTCAACAGAACTGGTCATCTGGTATCACCACCAGGAAACTCACCCTTTCTGACAAGGTCACTTCTTTGAGCAGGAGTGTCCACTATTGCACAGTTCTGTAGGTGCTCTGTGCCCCGCCCCATGATGTGCAGAGCATTATGGGAGTGGGGGTCCCAACACTGGGATGCTCTCTGTGGCTCACACTGACCATCTGTACCTGCCCTAAACTTGGGATGGTGAGAATTTAAAGGGCCACTGGGGCTCTATGACTCTATGACTCTACGGGAAAGGAAAAGTTGGATTCCAGAGAACTTTGACAATCCCATTAAGAACCATGCATGTCACGCTAATCACGAGAGAAAGCCGTGAGCAAAATTTAAACATAGGAATTAAATAATCAGATTTTAGTGTAGAAAAGAGGAGACTCAGTAGAACTTGTCAATAAACTAACAGAGCTCAGTTAGTCAAGAGTGACTTAGGCTTTCGGTTAGCACCTGCGTAAATAAGGATCCTCATCTCAAGTTAAATAAATTCCAAATCATCCCAAGGTCTGATGGGCCCCATATGATCAAGATCTCTCTCTCTCTCTCTCTCTCTCTCTCTCTCTCTCTGTCTCTGTCTCTCTCTCTCTCTCTCTCTCTCTCTGGTCCCACTTTATCCCATCATCTCTTTTCATCATCAATCATCATCATCATCCAGCAACCCTGGCCTTTTCCCCCAGCCTTGGGTTCTTTGCACTTTTGAGTCCCTCTGCCAATCTAAAGTTACTCTCACCCAACTTCCAAGTCACGATTGGGACAGTTCGGACACACGGTGATTATAGTGCCTGTGAGAGACAGGCGACCAGTAATCAGCTGGTTAATATGCTCCGTGGAGGCAAATCTGAGTTGGAAATGTAGACTTGGGAGCCATCAGGCAGAGGTGGTAAATGAAGTCAGCAGAGTGGATGATGAAGTATGATCTGAATGCCTTGTGTAGGGTCCCCTACCAAGGGGGCATAGACACATCACGGAAAGATGGTGTTGTCTTGCCTCTCCACTGGGAAGGCCTCCTACCTTTGGTGAAAAGGCACAGAACTAAATTATTTCTACAGGGTGCTCTAAAAGGGCACCTATGATTCTGGACACTGGAATCACAGTACAGGTAAATTAAGTCAGGGCAAAGTAGCTTTAAACCATTGGCTTGGGCTGCCCCCTGTGGCTCTGTTCTCCTCTAAGGCTATATTCACCAGACGCTGTCACCCTCCATTCATTATTCCACACCTTCCAACTGGCCTCTGTCTCCACCAGGAGCATCCAACCTGTGGCCCGTGGTTGGCCATGCCTGGCTTGGCTGAGTTACAGTGAGTGAAGAGGACTTGTCCTGGCTGCATATAAAATACACTTTCCACTCAGTGCTCATAAGTTTCCAGTGATGCTTGGCGGCCCTCTTCTCTAATCTCATCTCAGTGTCTCCTGGCGCACTGACATGTTCCCTCCTGGTGCTCCTCCCTCCCTGCTGGATTCTTCCACTCTGTCTGCCTTGCTGGACTCTTCCTCTTTTGGGATTTCTGAAAGCAGGACTAGGTCCTGGTTTCGCTTCTCTTCTCCCATGGATCTGGATACCTTCATTTACTAATGATTTCCATGTTTTTAGGCTTGAACCAAATTTTTCATTGAGTGCTTTTTTTACATATGGTGGGGAAATTAACTTTTCCTGATTCCTCAGCACTCCTCTAAAAATCCCCAGCCCCCAGAGACACAGAAATGCACATTTTGGAAACAGAGAAAGTTTGCTTCACTTCTCCTACACACATTTTACTCCTCACTTACCATGAGAATTGGATTTGTAGCTATTTGACTAGTTAACTTGCTCTGATCCCAAAGAAAAAAACTTCCTTTATCCCCTGATAGGCCCAAATGGTTGTCCCAGACTAGGTTCTTAGGTTAAGTCACAAAATATCAGGAAAACTGGTGCAATTTCCTCTGTATCTACAAGTCAAAAGGGATAAACACAGAACTTGGAGATATCTTTAGGTTTAAAAGCCACAGACAACTAGGGCTCTTTGGCCTTTGAAAATTCCAAAAAGTTATAGTGGGGACCTAAGACCTTTTCCACCTTATTTCAAAGTAGCTTTTTTTTTTTTTTTTTTTTTCTACAGGGATCGAAATAAGGACCCTGTGCTTGCAAGGCAGGCAGCAGAACCACTGAGCTAAATCCCCGGCCAAAGTAGCGAAGTTTTAAAACTCATCTTTTAATAGGGGAAGCAGATGGTGGTCCCTCCTGTATAAAAAACAGAAAATCCACCCATCACCAACACTTCCCTATGAAATGTAATCTGCTGTTTCAACAGAAAGATTCTTGCCCATCTCCAGTTTTTTCTTTACGCAGTAGCAAGATTTAAAATCAAACCCTGTCACTTCAAGCTCAGATCTCTGCAGTGACTTCCCACTGCACTTGGCATAAAACCCACCCACCGCTGCCACCTTCACTGACAATGAACTCTCTCCAGCCTCCAGCCCTCTTTTGTGCCACTCATCTTACCTCTTGGGAGACTTTTTTTCTTGTATCTCTTTCTTGAACTTGACCAGATACATCTTTTCCTTTTCTGTCCTGAAAAGAAAGGATAAATAATTTTTCATAGTTACAAACAGACCTGCCAACTTACTTGTCACCAGCATTCAGCTTTCACTCTTGATTTTCAGACCACAGTGGATAGGAGGACATCAGTGACCTTAGGTGATGCTGCTTCATAGAGTAACAGGGGAGGGATTTCTTCTGCTGTCCTCTAAAGTGGTAGCGGGTAATGGGGGAAGAGAGGGAGGGAGAGAAAGAGAAAGGTTGAGAGGAGCATGGATCTTGCAAGGTGAGGTATAGGGATTGCCCCAGAGAGGAAACGGAAGGAGAGAGGCCAAACCAGGTAGGATTTGTGGCATTGCTAGCAGGACATGAAGGATTATCCTCTGATCCCTGAATATGAAGCAGGAGCCAAAGTCATCTCTTGAACAATAATGAAGAGGTTTAAAAGATAATTCAAGGTTTGAAGGGCTCATCACAGGAAATGGAATTGTGGCCCAGTGTGGCGGGATCATTTCCACAGCAATCGTGGAGACACAGCAGGCGCACTCTGTCTTCCGTGGGACCCAGCAGTGTGCAGAAAACAGGTAAGAAGCTTCCTTCAAGACCTGCCAGAGAGTTCCAGGAAAAGACGGAGAAGGGAGGCAGGTTAGGAGGGTGGCAAGGATGGCAAGAGGTTGGAGACAGTGACGGATCTGGGGATCCAAGCTGGTAAAAAAGAGGATGTGAAGAAAGGCAGATGAAGGCTTGGCAGAGGAAAAGGCCCGTGCAATGGTGATTCAAATGAACGGAAAGACAGCTGCAAAGAGCAAACCATAAAGAAGAAAACAGGTATATTTAACATTTTATTTTTAGGATTAGGAGGTATCAGAAGTTGAATGATAGCTGTAAAAGGAGCAATCTTCAAGGATATTCATCCAAAAAGGAATTTTTTAATTATTGGAAGCCTGAGCTAGGTATGAGGGATGGTAAGTCCTGTGGATGGCCTTTGGGTATGAGGGGCCAAGGATTTGTGGAGGAAAAAGTCACCAGGAATCAGCAGATGACGGACTGGAGAGGCCAGGGAATTTAAAGGGTTGTGATCCTTGAGGTCTGCCAGGGGGTGACAGGCAAGGCAGAAGATGGTAGTGTTGAGGGGAAGAAGAGTTTTAATTGAATGGTTGAACATCAGAGGAGAGGGTGGAGAAGCAAGGGACTTGATGGGGTAGTAGGTAGCAAAGGCTGAATATCCAACTTGCCCCACCATGGGGTGTGAGTGGTGGACGCTAGAGACTCCCTGGCCACAACTTTTGAGGAAGTGAGGTCTTGTCAAGGAAGCAGCTTTCCAGAAAAAGAGGTTGGTGCAATTAAGAGTCTAAGAAGTTGTGGGTATCAGAGCCTGATGATTTCCGAACAGGACATTCTGATGGGGAAAGAATGCTTTCTTGTTTCTTATAATTTTCACAGAGGTCTTCCAGGAAGGCACAATGAGTGAGAACTGCAGAAATGAACTGGGCTGGCTATCATGACTATAGTCACATGGTGGGTGCTCATAACAAGATGTGACCAGAACAACAGTTAGCAGCTCTGAATTCACTTCTTTGACATCTTCAGGAGAAAGGAAATCCTTACCTTTCTTTTTTGGAGATGTTCTGCATGTTTCCTGGGGTTCCTCTGGGTCACTGGCCTCTGCAGAAGCATCTTGTGTCACTGATAAAAGAAATAGGAGGTGTGATGGAAAACCATGGTGAATGTTTAATTTAAACTATAATTACAGTAAAAGACACATTGCCACGAATCCCTCTCAAAACCCTCCCCCTCACTTCAAAAACACTTATCCCATCATTTTTACCTCTTCTGGCAGCAGTTCTGGAAGTTTTCTTTCATCGGTGTCTTTATGAGGTGTGATTTTAAAAAAATTACCCTGAACACTTGTAAGAGCCTGACTGAACCAGAGCGACTCCATGTTGATCAGCAAACGTCCTAGAGACTGTCGCTCCTCCCATCCCTTATAGGATAACTACTGATTAATTGTGAATTGTTAGGTAACTGCTTTGAAGTAGCTGGGAAACTAAATGGAAACTGTAGTGAACACAGAGACCCAACACGAATCACGTCACTCCTTACTTGCCTGTAGTTGAATATTCTGAACATTATAATCTAAATTGTAAATGGAATAATGGATAAACGGCCTACTGATCATTAGTACATGATGGTCAAGTATATGCTTGATGACCACTAGCTCAGATCAACTGATTCTTTGCCTTTGTCCTCTTCCTGTAAGTTTTAAGTGTAAACCCCCCCCCTTAGCCCTATATAAAATGGCCTCTGTTTCTGAGCGAGCCACCTCTCTGAGCTACTTGGCTTTGGGAGTGCCATCTGGCCAGACTAATAAAGGTCTATTTGCCAACTTGCCTGCTGTGTTCCTTCCTGGGTGACTCTCGCTGTCCGACAAGCTCCTGGAGCCTTGCTGAGCTTCTGAGCCCAGCATCATGGAAGCCTCTTGGCTGTTCACACTCCAGGAGTAAAAGTGAGACTTAAGTCTTACATCTTGGAGGCCCCAGCGAGATGCCCAAGTGGGAACTATAAATCCGGCCGAGATTCTCTGTTGCAAGATCCAGCAGGAGATTCTCAGACATAGACCTGAAAAGCCTCCGGAGGTAAGTTTTGAATTGGTTGCAACCATTTGATGTCAAGATAGAGGTGGCTGATGAGCCGGGAAGCCTCACCTGACCCCGGCCCTGACGAGGACTCCAGGTAGAATCTAAGTTCTTTTTCTTTTGTGTGGTGCCTGTGTGTCTTGCCTGTGTCCTGTCTGTTCTGTTGAGTGTTAACTTTACATTCATTCCTAGGAACAAGATGGGAGGATCCAGCTCCAAAAATACCCCGTTGGACTGTTTTCTCACTAACTTTAAACTGACTTTTTCCCCTGAGCAGGAAGATGAATATGGAATGAAGTTTTCTCGAGGGAAACTCTGAACCCTTTGCAACTTGGAGTGGCCAGCCTTCGGAGTGGGCTGGCCAGCTGAAGGTTCTTTCGAACCAAGACTTTGTTGGGCAGTATGGGCAAAGGTCATTGAACACCCTGGCCACCCCGACCAATTCCCTTATATTAATATCTGGGCCCAGGCCTGTGAAGAACCTCCGGCATGGTTGCAGCACTGCCCCCTGTGCACCAGTTCTCGTATTCTGGTAATGGTACCAAATGGGATAAAGTCCGCAAAGCGGCAGTCACCCAGGCTGGTGTTCTCCCAGGAGCCAGATCCCTTAGAGCCTACTGACCCCAGGTTAAGACCCCCTCCATATGCAGAACCATCCCCTGGGGAGACAGAAATTAAGTCCATCTACCCATCTCCCCCCGAAAGAAGGGGAGATCCCGGATTCCACCACCTCTCCTTCCCGTACCTGAGGGGGCCCTGCTTATGGGCCCCCAGAGGCACCCCAGGAGAGACCGGACCCAGTCCCTGTGCTCCCATTGAGAGAAATAGAACAAGATCATTATGTATACATTCCTTTCTCTACAAGTGATTTATATAACTGGAAGCACCAGAATCCCCCGTTCTCTGAGAAGCCACAAGCCCTAATCTCCGTCCTCGAGTCTGTGTTTAATACCCATGACCCCACCTGGGATGATTGTCAGCAACTTTTACAGGCTCTGTTCACATCCGAGGAATGAGAAAGAATTAGAAGACACGCTATTTGGTCAGTGCTGGGGGGAGCTAAGGGGCTTGTTGACGACCAACAACAACAGGCCCGAGTTGAAGTACAACTCCCCATCTCCCATTCCAAATGGGAATCGAATTCCACCGGAGGTAGGGAAGCTCTTCACAACTACCGTCAGCATCTCCTGGCCGGCCTTAGGGGAGCCGCTCGCAAGCCTACCAATTTGAGCAAGGTAAGTGAGGTCCTACAAGGGCCTGAGGAATCCCCCTCTGCCTTCCTGGAGTGTTTACTGGAGGCATACCGCACGTACACTCCAATTGACCCAGACGCTCCAGCGAACAGGCAGGCAATTAATCTGGCTTTTGTAACTCAGTCAGCCCCAGATATTTGGAAAAAATTACAGAGAATTGAGGACTTTGAAGGAGAGAATAGGGAAAAATTGATAAGTGTAGCAATGAAGGTGTTCACAAACAGGGATCCACCCAAAGATAGAATAACTAAAAAGATGGCAAGGGCAAATATAATCATGATGGCAGAAGAGGGTTTTATACAGAAGGGGAGAAAAATGAAATGGGGAAATAAGGAAAAGAGATGGCCTCCTGTAGATAAAGATCAGTGTGCATATTGCAAAGAAAGAGGGCATTACAGGAAAGACTGTGAAAAATGGAAAAAGAAAAAGGAACAAGAAAAGAAACCAGAAATGAAAACGGGAGGAATCTTTTTCACAGGGGAAGAAGAAGACTGACGGAGCCATGGCTCATGGCCGCTTAACCCCGATGAGCCTATGGTAACTTTGGGAATAGTGGGAACAGATGTTGAGTTTCTTGTAGACACTGGAGCGGCCCATTCAGTCCTCAAAGCTCCCCTTGGAGCACTTTCCTCCATGAAGTCTTCCATTACCGGAGCTACCGGACAACCTGCCTCTTATCCTTGGACAACATCACGAACTGTAAACCTGGGAAAAGGTACTGTAACTCACTCTTTCCTGGTCATCCCTGAGTGTCCCTACCCCTTGCTGGGAAGAGATTTACTGAGAAAATTAGGGGCTGTTATTTCTTTCGCATCTGAAGGAGGAAATCTAGAACTCAGGTCACCACCTACTATCGTGGTGGCATTCCTTTTAGAAGAAGAATTTAAACTAATCAGAGAAGAAGAAAATTCTCCAGAACAAAAATGGGACTATTTGCGAGAAAAGTTTCCTCAGGTATGGGCTGAAACAAACTTACCGGGGCTGGCAAAACATCAAGTCCTGATAATAGTCCAATTGTTGGCCTCTGCCACCCGTTCAGGTCCGACAATATCCTCTTTGCTTGGAGGCTGATAAAAATATCTAAACACATCCACCGATTTTTTAGATGCTGGGATATTGATCCCATGTCAGTCAGCCTGGAACACACCCTTGCTGCCTGTAAAGAAACCTGGCACATCAGACTACAGGCCGGTAGAGAACTTGCGGGAGGTAAACAGCCGGGTGGAGACCATCCACCCGACGGTACCGAACCCCTACACACTGCTGAGCCTCATTCCGCCTGCACATGTATGGTATTCAGTTCTTGATCTCAAAGATGCATTTTTCAGCCTGCCCCTGGCACCAGTAAGCCAGCCGCTCTTTGCATTTGAATGGACAGACCCGGACACTGGAACTACTGGACAATTGACATGGACTCGATTGCCACAAGGCTTTAAGAACTCCCCCACACTGTTCGGGGAGGCTCTCAGCAGAGATCTACAAGAGGTAAGGAAAGCTTTTCCCTATGCAACTGTTCTCCAATATGTAGACGACCTCTTAGTGGCGACCACAACCGAGAAAAAATGTCTCACAGCCACTGAGGGACTCCTGGAGGCCCTACAAAGTCTGGGATATTGAATGTCCTGGAAGAAAGCCCAGCTCTGCAAAACCAAGGTAACTTACTTGGTTTATGTTCTTGAAAAGGGAAAAAGAAAGTTAACTGAATCCAGGGTGTCAGCGATCCTTCAGATCCCCACACCCAGCTCAAAGAAGCAGGTGCATGAGTTCTTGGGGGCCATAGGATACTGCAGAATCTGGATACCTAGCTTTGCTGAAATTGCCAAACCCCTGCATGAGGCTACGGTGGGGGGGAATGCACCCCTTGAATGCACAGAGGCTTGCCAGCAAGCATTCCAGACACTCAAGACTGCGCTCACCACAGCTCCAGCCTTAGCCCTGCCTGACTTAAATAAACCTTTCACCTTATATGTGGCAGAGAGGAACAGGGTGACAAAAGGAGTGATCACGCAGTCTTTGGGGCCTTGGAAGCGACCTATAACCTATCTATCCAAAAGACTTGACCCAGTGGCCAGAGGATGGCCATCTTGTTTAAGGATGGTAACTGCGGCTGCTGCTTTAACTCGGGAAGCTGATAAATTGACTTTTGGCCAGGATCTAACTCTGATTACTCCTCATGCCATTGAGCCCCTGCTGCACAACTCACCAAGTAGATGGCTATCAAATGCTAGATTGTTGCAGTACCAGGGACTCTTGTTAGAACAGCAGCGCATTAAATTTGCCACAACATCTAACCTGAATCCTGCTAGTCTGCTCCCTGAGTCAGATGACCAGCTGCCCATCCATGACTGCCTTGAGACTCTTGAAAATCTGCGGGGAGGACGTCCAGATCTGACAGACCTGGCCCTTCCCTGGCCTGAGGCAACATACTACACTGATGGATGAAGTTTTGTATGTGAAGGTGTACGATATGCGGAGCAGCAATAGTCAATCAGGATCAACAGGTAGTATGGGAACAAGGGCTGCCCCAAGGGACGTCAGCAGAGAAGGCCAAGCTGATTGCTTTAACTAAGGCTCTGGAAATAGGAAAAGGGAAAAAGATAAATATTTTCACTGATAGCCGTTATGCTTTTGCTACTGCCCATGTACATGGAGAAATTTACCAGAATAGAGGACTTTTAACATCAGACGGGAAAGAAATTAAAAACAAAGTTGAGATATTGGCTCTGCTGCAAGCCATTTGGCTGCCAAGGGAGGTTGCCATCATTCACTGCCGTGGACATCAAAGGAATTCCAACCCTGAAGCGATTGGAAACAATGCAGCTGACCAGGCAGCAAAGCAAGCTGCCCCAAAATCAGTGGGGAAACAAATGGTGCTGCTACCTACACCCGTGCTCCCAGAGAGGCCTGAATGCACAGAGGAAGAAATAACGGAGATGAGTAAAAACCACTGGGCCAAAGGAAAGCATGGATGGTGGATGACAGATGAAGGGAAGGTCGTTCTGCCAGCTGCAGTGGCCGACACTTTGCTAAATGAGTCCACCCACCTAGAAAAGAGGATGACGGCCCTGCTTCGGCCCCACTTTGTCAGCAGAGAATTAGCCCAGAAGGCCCGGGACCAAGTGAGACGGTGCCCCACCTGCCTCAAGGTAAACGCGAATCGAGTAACTGGGCCCCCAGGGGTCCGATATAGGGGACTGACTCCCGGAGAACACTGGGAACTGGACTTCACCGAAATGAAACTAGGCATGTATGGTTACAAATATCTGTTAGTTTTCATAGACACATTCTCAGGGTGGGTGGAAACTAAAAAGGAAACAGCTGAGGTAACAGTAAAAAAGCTCCTGACTGAGATAGTTTCCCGATTTGCCTTCCCCTTAGCCCTGGGGTCCAACAATGGCCCAGTCTTCACGGCTAAAGTGTCTAAACTGATTAGCCTAAGCCTTGGAATTAGATGGAATTTACATTGTGCTTACAGACCTCAAAGTTCAGGACAGGTAGAAAGAGCTAACAGAACACTAAAAGAGATTTTAACTAAATTGAGCCTAGAGACTGAATTAAGTTGGGTGGAGCTTCTCCCTTTAGCTCTGTTGCGTATTCGATGTACTCCCAAGCCTCCTCTGAATCTGTCACCCTTCCAAATTATCTATGGGCATACTCCCCCCTTGGCTCCCCATATAGATATGGAATTAAAGGAGAAATTCTCTCATCTGAGGTTACTTAAGTCTCTGAGAGCTTTACATGAAATACAGCCTCAACTATAAGACCAGGTTAGAGGATCTCTGACCCTTCCTTATGAGAAACCTCTACAGCCACTGCCCTATAAGCCAGGAGAACTGGTTTATATTCGCAGGTTTGACTCCAAGACCTTGGAACCATGGTGGAAGGGGCCTTTTCCAGTTGTCCTGTCTACTCCTCTGGCTGTGAAGGTTGCGGGACACCCGACATGGATCCATCGCAACCACCTCAAGCCCGGACCGGACAACAGCCCAGAGGCGCATGGAAAATGGAGTGTCATCAGCAAACCCAGAGAATTGAAAGTAAAACTCTGCTCAACTGGACCTTCATTATGATCTGGGTGATTTCCCTTGGGACAATAATAGCGTTGTCCAAAGAGAACTTAGGTCATACTAAAAATGTTTGGGTGCAATTAGCTGAATCCTTAAATTTGTCTGAAGTATGTTTAAATGCTGATGTGAATTTTCATTATGTGCTTGGAAATTGTTTGGTTCCAGTATGCACCCCACTTGAAAGTATTAGACCATATACTATGTTTAAAAATTTCCCACAAGTAAATCTCAGTTATTTGGATAGTTACAATTGAGGACAGGTGACATGTTACAAACCAAAGAATGCTATTAAGCTATATACCCCTCGAGTAGCTATGTCCAATAAGACTCTCTGTGCCAAATATAAAGGTTGTACTTCCCAGTGTTTAAATCTTAGACAAACAGATGTAATGAAGTGTTCTAGAGAACAAAAGATTCCTTACAGCAAATGCCATATTACTTTGCCACTGGGATGGTTTTATACTTGTGAGGGAATAACTTATAATTACATCCAAGCAAACTTGACGGAGGCCCACTGTAGTCTTAGTAAATTAGCAGTCGTCTTACCTGACAGGGGAGACCTCTCACCACCCAACAGAACAAAACGCTGGTCTCCCTATATTTTACCAGGCTGTGATGATGATGTAGGACTTTTAACAGATGCTGGTTATTCCTATGATTATTTCTGTGATAGGTATAACCTCAATTGGAGTACATTCTGAAAAGGCAGTTAGAAAACTAGCTTGCAAGGTAGTTAAAGGGTTAAATACCACCTCTGCCGTGCTGGCACTAATTAATCAAGAACTCCAGGAACAGAGACAAGCAATCTTAGATAATAGGGTGGCAGTTGATTATTTGCTATTATTTCATCATCAAGGTTGTGAGAGGGTTAAAAATATGTGCTGCTTCAATTTAACAAATAATGGGCCAACTATAGAGCAAGACATAAAAAAGCTCAAAGATTTAGCTACAAAGATTCATAATGAACAGATAGGATGGGATTTATTTAAATGGTTAACAAGTTGGTTACCTGACATTACCTGGGTAAAACAACTGATACTCTGTGTAATGGCATTAGGATTTTGTATTGCAATAACTTGTTGTCTTTTACAATGTGTTCCTTTATTAAGGCCCAGAGTCAGATATAAGTAAATAAAAGATTTGATTTAGGTCCAAAAATCAGTGGGGAATGTAAGAGCCTGACTGAACCAGAGCGACTCCATGTCGACCAGCAAACAACCTAGAGACTGTCGCTCCCCCCATCCCTTATAGGATAACTAATGATTAATTGTGAATTGTTAGGTAACTGCTTTGAAGTAGCTGGGAAACTAAATGGAAACTATAGTGAACACAGAGACCCAACATGAATCACGCCACTCCTTACTTGCCTGTAGTTGAATGTTCTGAACATTATAATCTAAATTGCAAATGGAATAATGGATAATCAATCTGCTGATCATTAGTACGTGACGGTCAAGTATATGCTTGATGACCACTAGCTCAGATCAACTGATTCTTTGCCTTTGTCCTCTTCCTGTAAGTTTTAAGTGTAACCCCCCCCCTTAGCCCTATATAAAATGGCCTCTGTTTCTGAGCTAGCCACCTCTCTGAGCTACTTGGCTTTGGGAGTGCCATCTGGCCAGACTAATAAAGGTCTATTTGCCAACTTGCCTGCTGTGTTCCTTCCTGGGTGACTCTCGCTGTCCGACAAGCTCCTGGAGCCTCGCTGAGCTTCTGAGCCCAGCATCGTGAAAGCCTCTTGGCTGTTCACGCTCCAGGAGTAAAAGTGAGACTTAAATCTCACACACTGCTGCCTAGTGCCAGTCAGCGGAAAGGCAGGCTCATAACATTCTGGCGTGTCCTCCTCCTCCTTGTTCGTCAGATCTGGTGCAGCCATGTGATTTCTGGCTCTTTCCCAAAGTCAAAGTGACTATGACAGGTAAACATTTTGAATCAATTCAGGGTATCAAGGCAGCCATGACAGTATAACTGAAGACACCAGCGAAAGAGCACTTCCAGAATGGCTTCAGAAAGTGGAAAGAACTATGGGATAAATGTGCTTAAAGTGTGCATGTAGGATTTCGAGGAGGGTTAAAGACAATGTGTCTTTTACACATTACAAGTTTTAGAAACTTAACACTCACCATATTTTTTAACCACACTCATGCACAATTCATTTCAGAACTGGCTGAGGAGAAAGGCAGTGAGAGAACTAGAGAGGCCAAGAGTACATGTGGTGCACGCCCCAGCACCTGCCACCCTAAGGGTTCTGCCTTGATCGCTCAATTCTCGGTGGTTGTTACCTGTGTGACTGTCCATGAAGCACATAGCTGGGGCCCAGTCAGATTCACTTAAAGAGACTGGATTACTAGAAGGGAGAGAATCAGGCACCTCAGCCCAAGGCAGTGGGAAGTGGTGACATTGAATTCTGATGGCCACAAGAAAGGTGACGATCTTCGCCACATGAGAAATACATGCTCATGCTTAGATGTTGGTGAGAACATTTACTAGTGACTCTGTCTCTGTTTCACTCGGAGAGACAGTGAAAGAAGCTAAAGTGTTTAGTTATGCAATGAGGACTATGGAGAAGAGCAGCAACCAGCCAGTGCTTACTAGCACCAGCATGCAGCAAATACAAAGTTCTGCTAGTTTTTGCTGCAATAAGAAGAATGGGAAATCATAACAAATAACAAGGAGAGGCCCATCTCACATGCTTGTTCACACAATGCTCTGAGGCCTGCCTGGCCTACGCAGGACAGGTAACTGAAGCTCATGGTAAGCGGGCATTGGACTGTTGACTTTTCACACAATTTTAATATACAATCTCAAAAATCCAACTGACACAGTAATGGTATCAGTTGGCAGTTTGTTGGTTTTGCATTTGGTGGGGGTGGTTTTCACCACTACCTTACAGAAGCCTCTAGAGTGGTTGACTCAAACAGTCCACCTTTCTTTTCTCTCTGGCCCCTTTCCCCTTGGGGCTCCTACCACAATCCCTGTGGCAGATGAATATTCTCCCTTTTCAGACACCTTACGGATCGGGAGTCCAAGTGTAGCAGGTATTAGTGAGGCTTCTGACCTTCACGACCCATGGTCCTCTCCAGGTCTACTTTTTCCAGACTTGCCTCCTTGCTGTCTCCTGAGATTCTGTCTCCACTCAGAAGCTTAGCTCTCCTGCCTGTCCAAGATCCCAAGTGAGCAGCTGGCACTGGGCCAAGAGGGAGATGGAGAGCAGAAAGGAGAGGCCCATCCCAAGAAGGTCCCAAAGGCCATGCCTCTTGGTACACAGGAAAACAAAGCCAAGCTTAAGTCATGCAAATCAAGGTCACCTAGCACAGGGCTTGAAGGAGCATGGGATATCTCTTGAGATCTTCTTTATTGAGGGATCATGTCATTACTCGGGGACACTGAGCAGAGGAAGAGAAAGAATCACAGGCTTGAATACCAGAAAGAGGGAAGCCAAGCGGGGAAAAAGAGGACACTGTACTTCAACTGGAAGAAATGATGGGTGGCCAACTTAGGCCCAGACATGGGTGGAATAGACTGGGAAAGTGAGAAATTATTTACTCTTAATTAATTCCTCTTGTTAGTTTAATAGAGTGTTTATTTTTTCTTTTGAGACTCTAGAATATGGAATCTTCCATTGCTGAGAGCTTCCTGACCCCGATAACCTTACTTGGAGGATGTGTCTTAAAGGGGTGGAGGAAACATTACTGAGATCGAGTGGGGCCCCTTAGGAGAACTCAGAATCCCCAATACCATTTTCAACAGTGCCCCAAAACAAACCCCTGTTATATTTAATGCAAATGCTCCCTTATAATAAAGATTTGGGGAGGACACATGACACGGTTTTAGAAGCTAACAGGCCTTCGAACACTTCATAATCTAATAACTTCAATGATATTGCTCTTAGAATCTAATCCATGTAAGAATGAATAAGGCTGGAAGCCAAAGGCCCCAGGTGTAGTGAGCAGCCACACAGGGCTGTCAGTGCAGAAGCCGCATGGGTTACTTGTCAATTTACAGGAGAGTTTTGATGGTTGGCTTGTTCTGCACGGTGCACTGGTGAATCACCTCTTCCATTTCCTTTCTTTGTCACACCCAGTTCTTTGCCTGGAGGTTCTTACCACAATCTCACTTTTGGGAGGTGCAGGTTCTCCCTTCATAACCACCACAAGCTAAGCTAATTGAGCCCCAGTTCACATTACCTTGCAGGGTGCCAGCAGGAAGGTTGGGCATCTCTCGTGGATCTTCTTCCTTTTTTTTAGATGTTAAATTCTCACTGGCCACTGAAGGAGGAAGAGAAATCATGACAGGTTACAGGAACTGAACTTCAGGGAGGAGAGTGAATGGTAAAAAGGTCCAGAGCAGATGGAGCCTCAAGGTCCAAGAACAGAGAATTGTGATGTCCCAAGAGTAGGGCGCAGGTGATCTGGGCTCCCATGAGTGCTCAAGATCCTGTGCATAGGGAGGTGGATTGATGGAAAGGACTGGGTCAGTGACATAGGGGCTCTAGGCACCTCTTGTTGGGGACACACAGATGTTAGACAGGGTCTACTTCTCACCTTGAGTGCCTCCTCCCAGGATGAGTCCAGGCAGTGGCGCAGCAGGGCCAGAAGGGCTGGGTGATTTGTCCAGGCTGTCATCGATCTGCTGCAAGGATGCACTGGCCTCACTGACTGTGGGGCACGGATGTCTCAGTGGAGGTGGCTGGGGTGGAGGCAGCTGCAGCAGGGTCTGGAGGGTGCTCCCTTCTGCTGGGCCAGCGGGAGCTCTGAGTGGGGTAGGTGCAGTTTTGCTCTGCTCTCTGTAGGAGGTGCTGACTGGGGTAAGCGAAGGAGCACGCATCAGTATGTGTAGACCCTGAACGATCTGGGGATTTCTGAATATGCGACTCCCAGCCAGGCTGGGGCCATGGAGTTACTCATTGTCCCCATGGAACCCACCCCACTCATCATCATCAGTGTCCATTTGTGGCCCTGTTCTGTTTCACTTATTTGATCCAAACATTCAGTGGAACAATAACTGCACCTAACCCCAATCTGTTACCTGAGTGGTTTTGCACATAAAGTTGAGTTTGATTTTTGTACCCAGGGATTTAATTGCCTTATTTGGGCTTCATAAAATTTAGTCAATTATGTATATGCTGTAACTTTAATAGAAGTCTTTGTTTCAATAATTAAATATATTTTATATCCTTTGAACAAATAGGATCAAACAGAAATTCCTTAGCAGGGTGGGTTAGGACACTTGTATCCTGGTTTCTGCTCAATTCTGCAGATTTAGCTTCTGTGCTTTTTTTGGAACCCTATGATCCAGCCATGCCAACTTGCTCTCCCATCCCTAATACTCCAGGCCCTCAGTTTCCCATATGTTGTTCCCCTGCACTGGTTTATGTTGGGTTTTTGCTATGATTCTTCTCCATCATTTATTTCAGAAGCAAAGTTGTCTCAACTAGTGAATGGAAATAGGAATGGATTTTGAAAACGGATTCAGAACTAAATTTCAGAGTTGCAAATCTAGGAGGTGTTTGAGCCCAGCCAGGCCAGAGGCACATGGACACATGGGTTGTTCTGACTCCCAGATGAACTTAGCATATCCTTGAAGTCTGCGCTTCTCCTGGTACCATACTGATGCTGTCAGGAGAATGGGCCCTCAAGCAGCTGCTCCCGCTTGGAAGTGCACTTTTCTCATTGATGCCCCCTTAGCTCAAGGAGCCATTTCATCCTTTAGGGAGAAACTACATGGTGGGGAAGTGTGAGGGAGCAGATGTGGCACTCTCACTGGTTGTGACTCCACCAGCGATAATGTCACAGTCCAGCATATCTGCTGATTCTTCCCTTGCCATTCTGAGAGTTGAGCCATATGACTTGGCCAAAGTGCTTTGTCCTCCAACCTAAAATGATTTTATTGCCCGACTCTTACTCTGGCCCTCTTTCTTCCCACCTCTGTCATTGCTTCATTTTCTACTCCTTTACGTATGCAACTGCTAGAGTTTAACTATTGAATGTTCCCTTATAGGTGAAAACTTTAAGATGTAGGACCAAGTGGGATGTCTTTAGGTCATTGGGGGATTTGCCCTTGGAGGGGATCGCACAGCTCTGGTCTCTCTTCCTTTTTCACTCTGACCATGAAGTGAACAGCTTTGCTCACACACTTCTATGATGTGCTGCCTCACCAGATGCCCAATACACCAGGGCCACCCAGTTGTAGAATGGAACCTCCAAAAGTAGGAGCCCAAGCAACCCTTTTCTCTTTATAAGGTATTAACTCAGATATTTTGTTGCAGTGACAGAAAGCTGGAACACCTGCTCTTCTTGCCCAGTGGACATCTTGCTCAGTCTTTTCTCCTATCCCTTTCTGTATCTATGTCCAGTATTCCTTTTCTTCCTTTTTATACCTTTATTCCTTTTTGTAGCCTTACAATCTGCCTTCCTGCTGGCTTTGTTTAAAATAGTAGTTACATCCTTGCTCCCAAGTATTGTAGGAACCAAACAGAACTGCCTCTAAATAGACAAATAACTTGGGGAACATAGGATCTGAGGTTTTATTCCCTTGTCTGCCAAATACAGCTAATAATGACTTCACAGTTATTTTAAAGATCACATGAGAAAAATCATATAATGCACTAACTACCAAAAAACAAAAATACTTACTGTTTTTCAGTCCTGTCTCTTTCTCTTCTACTCTGACTCTCCTTATCTTTCTCCCAGACCTGGTCTTTGTAACTTTGTGTTTTTGTCATCTTATGCATCCCCTCATTTGTCCAGCACACTAAATGTTACAACTTTCCTCCAATTCATAGAACAGGTGAGACAGAAAGGTCTGTCTTCTAGAAATTCATCTCAGAGCATAGGGGTCAAAGCTAGCAAGGGCTGCGTCTCCAACCATGCCAGTGAGGGCAAGTGAGGGAAAGTGGGACTGAAGAGCACAATCCACGCTGGAAACAAAGTCAGGCATTTAGTGTAGCAACTTCTCATATGCAAAAGGTATTTGAACAACTGCATTACCATTTATGAAGCTTTTGAGAATCATCCTCAGGTTGGGGTATTCACACAGGTTAATCTGGCCGAACAGTGTCATCAGAAGTGACAGGTTAAAAGTCTTCTCCAGTTTGGTGAGAATGTTGTACACCACTCTGGATATAGGGACAAGATTTCTACAGGCTTCCAGAGACTCCTTTAAAAAAAGGAGCAAAGGAAGTGTGAATGATTATAGAACCGGTGGAGAGTTGTAATGCATTCGTGTTTCCTAAGTCATAAGAAAGCTAGTTAACTCTTTTTAAGGAGAAATTTAACATAAAACATAGAGCTAAATCTTCTAAGGTAGAGAAACATGTTTACTTCACATATATTTGGTGCCTAATTATAGGAACGAATCACTTAGCCTTCTTGAGAATAAGTCTGTTTTGTGAATCTTACTTTTTGGCACATTTGAAGGAAGAGAAAAATTTTAAGGAATAAAAGTAGAAACAAAGGATGCTACCATGTCTTTCTTTAAGGCAGGATGCTTTGGCAGTGGACCTAACAGGTAGTCACAGGTGGCAATTCTGTGGACTTCTTATTAAGTGCTAAGTTAGCTTCTTGTTAACTTGCTCACCCAAATGGATTCCAACCAAAGGGAGATCACCCTGAGCATTTTCCCTGCACAGAAGATGAACAAAAGAAGAAACATGCCGGGAGAGAAATGATTGCAAAATATCATCAAGCTCCTCATGGGCCCACTGAGCTGGTCATTGGGTGAATGGCAGGGCCTGTGAACAGTATGGGGCTGCCCGTTTTGGGAGGGGGCATTGCCAGGTGGAGATGACTGGCATTGGATAATAAACATAAGTTAAATAAATACTCAGTTACAACTGAGAGTAGTATCATGAAAAGAAAGTACAGATTGCATGACAAAGAGTAAAAAGGGGTTATTAATTGGAAGAGTAGGTTCAAGGGCCATCTGGACTGTAATCTCAAGAAGGAGTTGGCGCTAGCCAGGTAAAAAGTGGGAGAAGATTGTATTACACTGTTGCAATTTTCCTGAGCTTGAACTCAAAAACACTTAAAAAGCCCAAAGCACAACAATTCAAAAACCCTTTCAAAATTATATGAAAATAGCATCACTTTTGTCCAAATAGCTGTGCTATATCTCCCAATGCCTGTCTGTGTCACATCAGAAGGAACTGCGAGCAGTAAGCTCACAGAAACTGGGAAGACGCCCCAGTGTCTGAAGGGCATCTACTTCTCATAAGGGGAAATTTATCCAGGTATCCATCCAAAACTGTGAATATGAGTCACTTGAAAAAATGGTCTTTGCCGATGTAACTGGGTTAAGAATCTTGTGATGAGACTGTCCTGGGCTAACTTAGGGTGGGCCCTTGGTGCAGGTGTCTTAAGAAGAAAAGGGAAAAGACATGAAAGAAAGAAGGAGACATGAGATGGAAACAGAGATTGGAGTGATATGTTTCAAGTCAAGGACCACTGAGCACTGCCAGCGGCCACCAGAAGCTAAAACAGGCAGAGTTTGGATTCTCTTCTGAGCCTCCAGAAGGAACCAATGTTGTCAATACATTGATTTTGGCCTTCTGACCTCCAGAACTGTGAGACAATAAATTGCTGTTGTTTTAAGCCACCCGGTTTGTGTTCATTTGCCAAGGTCACCCCTAAAATCAACATGGCACCAAGAAACCTTCTCTCCCAGCCACCTCTTGTTCTGTGACAATGACCATGCCTCAGCTGGCCCTGGAACCCTCCAGAAGCCCTTGTGGGTAGTGGTTTGAGGTGTCAATAATCCAGCCCACCTGGGGCTGAGTTGCACCAGAAGGGCCGACATGACTCACCCTGTACATCCCCTCGGTGATGAAGGACTTGTCTCGGAGAGATTCAAAGAAGGGAAATGGCTTGTTTATGGCATAGGCGATCTCCAGCTTGTAGAGTATGAAGTGCTGAAGAAGAGCCTTTTCCAAGGCTCTGCTCAAAGTGAACATCCTGCAGAAAGAGGCAGGTTAAGAAAACAAAGACTGCGAGGGGTCTGGGGAGCTGCTTTCTACACCAATGGACACCTGCAGATTTGCATTTCGGTCCCCCTAGCAGTCTGCAAAGCAATGTCTGCCAACAAGACTCAAGGGTATAGGAAACAAAGACAATGCCCTGCAACTGCGGAGGCAGAGCATCCCAAAGGGGATGAGGTGGGAACAAATCCCGACTTTCTGATTGCAGGCTGATGGTTGTAAGTGCATGCTCTGCGGCTGCATGGAGCTGGGGTAAACCAGATGGCCTGGCTGTAGCTCAAGCCATCCATTAGCAAGGTACATAGGAAAGGGACCACCCCAACATTGGTCAGTGGAAACCTGCTAATATCTAGAATCTGTGGCAATTCAAACATTTCACTCAACATTTCAACAAAAGCAGGCTAAAAATAAAATCATGGAAGATGTGAAAAGTGTGATTAGTGAAGGTGACATCACTGACTCAATTCACATATTCATTTCCTAAATCAGAACAGACATGTGCCATTTCTCATCCTGTGCAACATTGATAAGAATTGACCATTCATGGCTCATGAGAAAAGATCAATAAATTACAGTAGGTAGAAAATTTACATATGGCATTCTTGATAAATTGTTACAAAAAAGGGCAGTGCTAACACAAAGTTCAATCATCTCGAGATGCTTAAAACACAAAGCAGACGCAGATCCACTTTTTCTGACTTCATTTCGTGTTAAGTAGAATATCTACCTGTAATTAATGCCTACTTCCAGAGCTCTAATCCCATCCACAGACTGAGGACCTCTGCCTCTTCCTCCCCATTATCAAATCCTTTACATTTGGCAGAACGACATTGTTAAGATAATAATACACCACAGTGTGACAAAGGAAACCATCAGCAGTCTTGGATCATGAAGAAATTCTAGAAGGTAGAGAACAAATGGGAGAGGGATATGCTATCCACATAATGTGTGGGGAAAGGACATACTGTAAAGACTGTGCTCAGTGAAAGCCAGAGCGAAGTAGAAGAAGGGGCTCTGTCTCTATTTAGGACATTCATTCTGTAACAACGCAGAGTAGGACGTTGCTCAGTTCTTCATTCTTCATCTATTAGGATTCTCAAAACATGGCAGCGGGGCATAGAGAGGCTAAGTGAGCAGTCCAAGGTATCCAGCAGCAAAGCAGAGCTCATCTTTCTCTAACATCCTGTTTCTCACTGTGCAAGATATTGCGTCTTTTAGATGACCATATTCAGATTTTATTATGTAAAGGATCCTATAAATGAATAAGCAAAAGGTAAACATCTAAGCAGCAATAAAAGCTAAAGCAGTGCATAGTCAATCAATCAGGGCCTGCCACACATGCACTAGTTGTATGCAAACCACGTGATCTCACTAGTAGCGAGAAATGTGCAAAGAAAACTGAAAACATATTTGTCTGTCAGAGTGGCCAAGACAGAAAATAATAACAATAATCCTGGACATCATCATGGCTGGAAATGTTCTGAAAGTCCAAATGAAGAAAATATATATTAAAAGTTTACGACGCACTAGGGAGGAAATTAGGGAACTCTCCTCGTTTCTGTTTTCCACGAGCTGCCCAAGGGGTCCCCTGCACAGTGGTAAGGAAGGAGCCGCAGGCTGTGGGCAGGATGCAGGGACAGAATTTACAGCGGGTAGAGTCAGATCTTGGCGCCAACAAGGACAGCAAGAAGGTCAGAGTTGATCTGCGTGTGAGCTTCTACTGTGTGGCCCGTTAAGTCCCACGATTCTCTCAGCCTCTCTGGAAAGCGCTATTTTACAGGAGTGGGGGAGGGGAGAGAGAGGAAAGCAAACTAGTTCCTGAGAAAACAACAGAATGTATAAAACCATTAGATAAGACCACCTGGCATCCTTGAAACTCTGCCATCCTGTAACAACCTTGAACCTCGGCCACCCCGATAGCTCACCACCCCAACAACAGCCAATAGGATTTAAATGTAATAACTAACCAATCATAATAGAGGTAAAGCTTGTTACTAAGACTAATGTATCCCAAACCCTATAAAAGCGGCTTGAAATTGCTTTTCGGGGTCTCCAATCTCTGATTGGCAGACCCACTGCATGCTGTGTTAGTAAAGTGCTCTTGTGTGTTGCATAAGTGAGTGGTGATCTTCTTGGGGACATGGCGCTTGGGCACAACATTTGGGGGCTTGTCTGGGATCGACGCTGCCCCTCGAAGACCCCTACTGCATTGAGTACTTAGACTTTAGAAACTGATCAGTGAGTACTTGTTCCTTTTTTTTTTGCTTCTGTGTCCTTCTCTTCCTGTTAATGTCTGATAATTGTTTATTGAGAAACTGTGATCTGGATCATTTTGGAGGCTGGGAGGTCCAGGCAGACGTGCTAGTGGACTCCCAGCCGCAGGGGCCGAGAAGAAGTCCCTTGCCCCTCTGGTAGGAACTCTGTCTCTCTGTTGACGGGGAGGGAGGTTGATTTTT